AGGGAAAAGGTTAAGGACATATACTTGTAAAGATACCAGTTGTTTTGTACAGAACATTTAGTAGAAGTTTTATGAAAAACAAAGTATTGAAATGGTCTTTCTCTGCAGGAGTTTTGAAGCTGCAACATCGTAACCTGAAATACAGCTTACAATCAAGGCTGTTAGCAAGATGTTGAAATGTACTTAACTTCAAAATTAAGACACCCATAAAATTTAGCCTGTTCTCTTGAAAGTAGTTATAAATACTGTTAAATACTGCAGATCTTTAATAAATATATGCCGCGCTGATTGGCCTGATTGTTACTTAAGTAACAAAAAATTGTACTTGTGAAGTTACTGAAACTAAACAATTGTGTTAACGTAAGGGCACCTGGCAACTAACACTGATGCAGCGTTTCTGTAAGAACATGAGCTGCTTCCTCATCCCACAATTACAACAGAAATGACAAAGCCGTAAGAATTTCTGTATGTTGTCCAAGTGATAGCCTTAAAAACATCTCTTGCCAGATGTTAAACTTTTATGTGGTTGGGAGATTTTTTTTTTTGTAATCTCTATTTTTATGTTACAGTGTTTCTAAGTTGAGGTACTGCAATGAACTGCACATATCAACAGAGTAATCTCACAACCCACGTGACAAATATAGATACTAATGACAAGATATAGGAGTAGGACCCTGGCTGTTTCAAGCGTGGTAATAAAGGATACACAGTGGGGTTGAAGTTCTTCAGCACAAAAAATGAAGCAATGATGACCAAGACCAGAAAGAGAGTATTGTTGTAGAAGATGGAAAAAGTTGTTGCTTCATAATCTGCAACTTCATTTTTCTTCCACAGAATTCTAGGAACAAGTAGAGACGTTATTTCAGGCATATTTAAATCAATGCATATCCTGGCACACCCACCATTATGAAGCGAGTGACACCCGGAGGTGCAATAAACCACATACTGCTGCTCTTGTCATAGCCAGCTTCTAAAAGACAGAGCGCAGCAAGAACTACCAGTCAATTCATTAGCTGAAGACAAAACCCTGCATATACTATGCACTTGTATGCTTAAGTGACTTACGCTTGTTTTCCTACCAGGCACATCAAACCTAGCCCTTCATACATAACGCTTTTTGTGAGTTTGTATCTGTTAGGTGCTACTCGCGTGCCTGGCAATTAGAAAGGAAGATACGGCTTTTTTGCTCCAAAGGGCTGACAGTTCATGTCCTTGCGTCTTGTACATAATGGACATCTACTCTAATATTAAATGCTTCCCGAAACGCTCATCAGGCATAGCCTGGATATTAGTATGAGCTATTCAATTGGAAATCTGCATACTGACACGTGCCAGTTATAACCACGAGGGGTAACAAGTACAACCAGTGTTGAGTAGCGCAGTCCAGCAGTATACGGAAATGCTATTCTGAAGCAACTCACATGTCACTATGCAAAATACATTGCGCTAGCCTGTCCTTAAGAAAAGGAGCTTTTCTTATTTCTGAAGACAGCTGTGATGCTTACTCTTCAGAGAGTTATTAGAAAGCCTGTACAGTAAGTTGTCTTGCTTTGCAGCTCAAGGACAAAGAGGTTGCGTTATAGGACCTTATCGATAAAGGTTTCAATGTTTGAGACCTTTCATTGATAACTTGCCTCAAAAAGGCTTTATAGATGAACAAAGAGCTGACAATACAGCTTCTACTTACCAGAATACAGAAAAAAACAATGGCCAAGCAACAGTCCCTAACATCCTCCCTAGTGCCTTAAAGATACCAGGCAGTATTACAACAAGGGAGAGAAAGAAGAGAACAGAGAGGATTACCTTTCATCCTTCTCCTTACGAGACATCTTCCTATTGTCTGCCTCAGACAGCTTGCGAGTAACTTCTTTGGAAACAGCATCTTCTCTTTTCTGTGCTACTCTGTAAGAAACACCATTTAAGTTGAAAAATGAAAATAAAAAACCACAGGGTTATAGAAAGTTGTATTTACAGTGAAGAATAATATTTCGCCAAGACACTGAACAGTTTTGCTAAGCTGAAGGGACAACAAGTAACAATCCAATTACTAAAAGTATTAGTCAAGTATAGTTTGTGGCAATACCCACTGAGAATGAAGGTAGTTTTGCTATTTCATTGTACGCTTAGCTGACAAGGCTAGTCTATTCCACAATTACAAGAGAGATGACAGAAACCAATTAGGAGATACTTCTGTGTAAAATAGTTTTTGAAGTAACATTTCAGACATTCTTATTAATTTAAAAAAGATGTTGTAAATGCTTGTTTTGTTAAATTATTTAACAGTAAATTCTGCTTCAAATAGCCACCAAACTTACTTGTGTTTGAGAACAAACTTGACGTTCTTATACGCAAAAGCTACTAGATAGGTACTGATGAGGGTCATTACACTATACAGGACTGCGGACTGAACAAGATCCATATGCCATATCCTCCAATAAAGCCCTTAAAAGAAAAAAAAGACATTTTGAGTGGCTTCTCGCTCTGAGACAAATGTCCCCATAGCAGTTCTACACAGCTTACCAGCTCTGTAATTTGGCACTGGCTCTGCCAGCCCAAAGCCAGTTCCTGCAAAATCACTTGGGGGTCTCCATGCAGTAGAAAACACTTTCGAATAGAGAAATCTGCTTTGCTTTTGGCTGAAAGGGGCTTTATGAGACCACGTCAAAGTCGGCTGAGCAGCAGCCCAGCGCAGCCAGCCTGCCGGCCGCACGCTGCGCTGAGGCTGACACGTCAGTGCTCGACCAGCAGCTCGTCCATCTTTACACAGCACAGAACAGCCACCCTGCCCGCTGTTCCAAGCGGGACTGGCTGGATCTAACACGGCACGGAGGCAGCCAAGACGATCCTGCCTGGGGTC